AATTAACCCCATATATGCAAAGTTTACAGCGAATTTGGTGGGAATCAGTCGTGGCGCCACCTGGCGCCAAATGGCGCCAATTTGGCGCCAGCGCCAAAAATGAATATCATATTCGTGATCAGGACCCTCGATAACCCCCATAGCCGAAGTTTCAGCGAAAATTATTTTTTGACCCATCTCACCCCTACTGGGGTTGTAATAATGCAATAGTGCCGTAAAAGGTACACTCTTCCATAAGTTGCAACTATCATTACACATATATTGGGAATGTGAAAAAACCATTGGTTGAAGCGGAACAAGCAAATGAACCCTTTGCAAAATCGTATAAACTTGTTGCACCACAAGCAACAAGTTTACACGATTTTAACCGTAGAACTGTTGCACATGAACGCGTGACCGCGACAGAGATTTCTGAAGATAAAGTTTTTGGAATTTACGATTTTGCAATAGAAAATTATTAAAGACATCGCGCCCTAGCATAACTCGTTGTGTCACGTGATTAACAGCGACACCGATGGGAAGTACTGTAAATAAAATCTCCATACATAACCCACCCTGAGTCTAATCTCATAGTCCGTGTAGCGCATTTTGCCAACTCCGTGCGTAATTGGATTCACCACTTCGATTTCGAGGAAATTTGCGGGAGGCGCGTAAGCCTCGTCGAGGGTTTGACGTTTCGGCTGAAGACGTTGAGTCGCACTTGCTGCACTGCTCATCGCTAAAGAACTGCAACAAAAGTAACTTGAAAACACGCCTGGAATAGTGCACGAGATTCTAACATATGAAAGTTATTACAATTAAAGTGTTGAAACGGTACAGCGCGCCTCCGAAGCCTACAGCAATAGAAATTCGATTACAAAACGATACAGTCGAGTACTTATGGCACAAAAGCAATAAAGCAATATTAGATAGGATTACACTGGCGATCCTTCTGTCATTAAAAATCGGAAGCTGCCGAAGTGGTAAGGTGCAGCATCCGAGCAAATCGAAATCAATGGACAGGAACCACTCACTTTTGAAACCGACTTTTTTTTTAACAGACTAGACTACCTCTGGAAAACTTATGTCCCCGAGTGCGTAGTGCTTAGAAGCCAGAGTATCGGCAACCACCGTGTGCCATCTTTCGATGGAGATGAATAATCCATTCCAGGATATTCGTGTTTCACAATATACTTTCTTGACTTCTAGCACATGTTTACTTTTACAAACACAACACTATACAAACAGGCCCTTTGACGCAATCCCGAGACACGAAGGCCCTCTCTAGGACTGAGCCTAAAGGCGATGTCAGACTTTGCGAATCGCGCGATTCGCTGATAGCGATTCGCAAGTCTGACATCGGCCTAAGGCTGATGTCAGAGTCCGCGATCCTTTGCGCGATTTTCGCGATTTGCGCGACGGGTCACGGAAATCACAAGTGCCCCATCCATACTGCAAAGGTGTTCTCCAATCCCGCCGTCACTTCTGCTTGATGGTTATGGTTTAATGGAGACTGCTCATGATTCCACTTGTTTCATATCCAGTGTTTCAATTGTTCAAATGGGGCACTTGCAATTTTTGTGATTGGTTTGGTTTGATTCCTGAAAAAAATAGGAACGATTCAAGAGCATTTCAATGAACTAATAGACATTGAACATGAAACAAGTAGAACCACAAACATTCGTCTTCCAATCTTTACTGCCAAGCAGAAAGAGAGGCTCAACTTCGGTGGCAAACATGAAAACTGCTTACGCGAACTGGAGTTTTCAATCAAGCCTGGGCTTAGTCCCATTCTCAACGTGTAGTAGATGTTCACGTGATTTTGCATGCACTACCACCACAGTGCCTTCAAGTTCCGTGCTTTTTTTTAGGGAATTCCGTTTGGAAAAGACAGGGAATTTAGGGGGTTTTCTCTCTCCTCTCTTTGGAGGAGGATAGGATACGGCCCCAGACCATAAGGAGACCCCTAGCTAGGAGACTAGTTCGTAACACCCTTTACAAAGAAAAAAGCTCACTCTAACGCACTCAACTGTTGGAAAACCTGAAGTGACAAGTAAGACAGAACCTATATACAAAATGATATCTAATCAATGAAAGGATGACCGACTTAGGCCGTGCAGCGATTAGTCAGCGCAGAGTCAAACGGGCAAGCAAAACTGAACAGCACCAGTGGTGACGTCACCAGCGCTACCGTATTTAGATGTGCAGGCAGCCACGACTGGCCGGTTGCCAAATTTCAGCGAAGTTTAAATTTTTGAACTTTTTTGTTATTCTCGTGGATTTTCGGTGTTTTTCACGTATTTCATTGAAGTTAGACGAAAAGAGCCTTCGATGAGCAATGCGAAGCATTCTCGAGAATTTTATGATGGACCGTTCTGGACTAAAACGGTTGGAATTTGATAACGATGGTTTCGATGAAACAATCACATTTCCGGCTTTGGCGGACTGCTTGAACTGCGTCCACACTCGTAGAGCAGCGAAACTTAACAGTGAAGAAGTGTAGACTAGGAGAATAAACAGAACTGCGGAAGAACAGTTTTTTTCTCAGTTCGGCTATTCTTTTTTTAAGACGTAGCATGAGAAATCTTGCCTATTTTAGCGATGATCTAAACTCTATTTTCAAGGAAGAAAGATAGAAATAGAAAAGGAACAGATGAAGGGTAGCCATGGTGTTTGCTTCCTGAATGTCATCTCCATACATGTTCCCACTGACAGGGAACCTGTTCCCAGTGCTCATATGTCTGTTTCATATTAAGTAGATAATTCCAGATAAACCGGATCAATGGTGCCAGACTGAGATCGATTAGGAGATGATTCGTCGTCGTAGCCTTGGGATGACCAGGATTGGCGCTACACCGTCTCCGGTTGTTCATGAACCATTTCGTAGTCCACTGGTAATGCCAAAATCACCTGAAGAGGGCTCAAAGAGGAAAGAAGAAAAACTCATGAAGATTCAGGTCGGTGCTTTTCGGCTGCTTGAATATACACTGTTAGTGCTTATCATTTATTGTGTTTCGGGAGTGATTCACCTGAGTTATCCCCTGAGACAAAATTTCGACGAATATTCTTTGTTGGGATATTAGGGTTGTAATGAAGGATGAGTGCCCATGGTTTGCGCCAAAATTATAACGGTAAGGTTTCGAGTGGCCTAGAATAAGAATGGGAATAATCGAAAATGCAATAACGTTCACGTTCATTTAAACCAAAAATATTTTCTATCTCAAAAACCCCTACGTTAGCGTTTAAAGAACTTAAAAAGCATTAAGGAAGCGCAGACTGTGGCACGTGGGAGCTCATTCTACGCATTTTGGAGAGAAATACCATAAATGATTGAACAGGCCAGCGAAGTTTCAATGCAAGCGTTAGCTTCACTTCATTAGCGTCAGCTTCACATGTATGCTGGGTTTTGAACAAAACTTCCGCCCCAGGCGGCGGGACTAGAACCCGCACCTCTCGCTTTCGGTAAGTACGTTACCAGTTACGCTACCGGGGCGCCATTTCATCCCAACTATTGTTCACAACCCAGCATACTTGTGAAACATTTGCAACGCGAACTGCGGCCAAAAACAGCAGTTAACAAACAAAAAGCAAACGTTAGCTTCCAAAATTAAACTTCGTGAGTCATCGTTTCAGATCTGAGGTATTGACCTTCCCCTCGTTGAAGCTGAAGAAATCGGCAAAGTTGGCCGCACAAGGTCTGCACCACCCTTGTCTTGTAAGCAGGAACTCCGTCCTGCTAGAAGTTCCGCAGCTGTTCTCAGAGTGAGCATAAACCTAGAGTAGCAGTTTGCCGTTCAGAAAGTTTTAAGTAGGCCCATTACTGTCCTCTTCGGTCGGACATTCGCTGAAGCGAGCGCGCCAAGTGCCTGCAAATCGCGCTTCCTCTTAAGGTTAGTCGTTGTGGTCAGAGAACGTCTCCTTTTGATCAGAACGATTTCGTTCAGTTTCCTGTTCGTTGCAGCGTGTAGTGGATCATGAATACTACCGTGATGTACACCAAAGCCTTGATAACTTTCCGTGCCAAAAATCCTGGACTTTAATTTTTAATGGTTCAAAAACGGAGACAAATCGCTTGTACATCTAGCACTCACACACTTCGTGGTTGAATAGATATAAACAAGCCAGTACAACAAAAACAAAAGAAGCTCAGAAAAACAGCACCTCTGAATGGATTTCAAATGCGCATGTGCCGTCGCATAATTTGGCGCATCCTGTAGTTCAATGAATTAGTTAATAAGAATGAGCCAATGCTCCCAATATGATCGGATGCACTTAGATTTGGTGTAAATTCGTAGAAGCGCCAGTCGTAAGCACAAGCTTATGCTCTGTATAAGAAGAATCCACTGTTGCTCGGGCTGTCCGTCCATTTATGTTCATATGTGTAATATAATGTTGACTGATCACTTCCGGTCAAACTGATTTTGGTCTATGTTTTGAGCCCTGCAGTAATAGTCAGATCAAATCTACATTTTTTTTCAGAATCCTTTCAATAGTGAGAGAGAAGATGTCATAGATCCTCAAAGGTTGAAACTGATCGACCGTAACGCTATGATAGCACGAGATGCTGCTGAACATGAAGCGATGATTGCTCGGCTCCTTTCCAGGCCCTTCACCATACCGCTGGCTGGTTACTCTTCGTAGGTTTACTCATCACACTTTCTCCTAGATCGCCATGAACTCGCTTTTGTCAGTGTCCGGTCGTGTTCTGGGAATGGCCCGGTCCAGAATGCGAGTCGCTATGTTTGATCCTTATGCCGAAAATGCTGTGGTGTTGTTCACACCGCCTGCCCTATCTGCACATGAACAAATGAATTTGAAGGAAGAGGACAAATTGGTGAACACTTATGATCTCAGAGTTCCCATCTTGTCACCAATAAAATTGCGCTTTTTAGGTGCATGTGGTTGTTGACCCGGTTCTCGGCAACATTTTACGGCCACATCAAGTGGAAGGCGTGCAATTTATGTACAACTGTGTTACTGGAAGAAACGTTGAGGGGTGATTTTCTTTTCAATTTGTGTGACTTATGATGGGTGTGGTTCGTTAGGACAGAAAGCGATTTTTTTTCGCGTTTCGCAGCGCGAAACATTGTTCGTTGCGGGAATCTCAGGTCCACTGATGATTCGCTGCGGGAACCTCGGGTCCACTGATGATCAGCGGTGGACCTGAGGTTCCCGCAGCGGAAAATGTTTCGCGCTGCGAAACGCGAAAAAGTCGCTTTCTGTCCTAGTGAACCTCACCCACTTACATCCCCACCAATCAAAATAAATATGTGAGGCAACCAGAAAGAGATGGAGCGATTGCCGCATAATGCATATCGGTAGATTCCTTATCTATGCACTTGAACATCATTCCCAGTAATTTCTACAGTAGCTTTTCCTTTCCCCAGTTGTTCCGTAAGAACACAGACAAGACTATTGGCGAACTGGGATTTTGATAGGTGCAGCCTGGCTGCAGCGCAACCTAACCCGTCTCGAATGTAGAACTTTTCGGATCAGTATTGTTCTTATTGTTGAACTCGGTCGGATGAACCACTTCATTTTGATGTGCCTGCCAGCGCTCTCTCGCATAAACAGCGGCTCGTGATTTCTGCGATCTCAAAAATTCAAATTCTAGCCAAACTGGCTCACACACCCAGAGTCCCCCTCCAAGGCTTAGTCTTACAAGGGAATGCTTGAACTTCCCATGGAACTTTGAAAGAAGACCTAGTATATCGATAGAGTCTTGAACGCTGATTACAAATAGGGACACTAAAACTGCTACGTGAACTTTCTAAGAAAGTTATGAGCCTTCAAAGTTGGCAAGGAAACGGACGCCATTTCATGGAACAGCTAACCGCTGACGAGCCGTGGTAGCGGCGGCGCAGTGGTAGAGCTCTCGCTCTGCAGGCGGTTGGTCGTGGGTTTGCTCCCGGCCAAAGCCAAAATTTTGCACATTGTTTTTCGTACCTAGCAGGTTCTGTTGTTCCGATTTTTGACTTCTATTTCATTAGTATTTGGTACGACTCCCATTCGACGCGACTGTTTTGTCGTCATTATCTTATTCCCTCGATGTGCAAAATAAATACTTTATAGATAAGCTACCCCACCTTCTAGAGCGTAGATGACAAGCGTAAATGGGAGTCGTTATCAAATACTAATGGAATAGAAGTCAAAAATCGGAGACAGCCCTTGCTGGACATGAAAACAGTGTGCAAAACTTCTGCCCCATTCGGGAGCAAACCCACGACCAACCGCCTGCAGAGCGAGAGCTCTACCACTGCGCCGCCGCTACCACGGCTCGCCAGTGGTTAGCTGTTCACATGAAATGGCGCCCGTTTCCTGCCAACTTTGAAGGCTCATAACTTTCTTAGAAAGTTCACGTAGCAGTTTTAGTGTCCCTATTTGTAATCAGCGTTCAAGACTCTATCGATGTACCTAGGTGCTCTTTCAAAAACCATGAAAAGTTCAAAGCATTCCCTTGTTAGAGCTACCATCTTCCTCCTTTGGGATTCGGAGCCGAGGAAGGCGCCGTTCTGTAATCGTCTGTGCTCTAGCAATTGTGGCAGGGCCACATAAGCAAGTTCAACTACCGTGAACCGTTATGACAGGCTGATGTCAAAGAATTCTATGGTACTTACTGTTGACTAGCCGAAGTAGTTTCGCAGCAATACTTCTCACTTAAAACAACAAAAAGGCGTCATTTCCATCTCGAACACGAGAGCTCTCAAGATTCGTTCGAAAAAAATTGTCTTTCAATTGCCTTGATTCTTAAATATGGTCATTTTTCGAGCAAATTTTCAACACCAATTTTTCGCATAGTTCTCATACTGCCATTATTATGCTGATGTGACTTTGAGTGCTTGAATCGTAGACTTCATATGTAGAGTTAGCGTATGTAGAAGCATATCTAAAATTGTACTGTGGCAGGTGGTGCGATCGATTCACCGTCACTGACGAACAACGCTTTTGAAATAGTGAGAGCCTAGGAGGACATCTGTTCGACTAAAACCTAAACAAAAACTTCTTAGAGTTTGCACTATGGACTAAAATGGAGACATCGTGACTTTTCGTAGTGCGTCTTTCCGGTGATCTGAAATGAGTCCTCTCGTCGAAAGATCATCTGCAGTCTCTATTGTTCAGGTATTATGGCTGCATCATGGCCGATGAGATGGGTCTAGGAAAGACGCTGCAGTGCATCACCTTACTCTACACATTGCTTCGTCAAAGTCCCAAAGGCAAACCGACCATCTCCAAGGTGGTCATCGTTAGTCCCAGCAGTTTAGTCAAGGTAAGTTGTTTGCCTCTACCTTCTGTACTTTGACTTAGTTTTATTATGTTTTCTGGTGGTTTTCTGGTTTAGAACTGGGATAAAGAGATCAAAAAGTGGCTAGGTCAGCGGGTCAGTGCGCTGCCAATGGATTCTGGCAACAAACAGGAAATAACGAGTAAACTCAGTTGGTAAACTAGAGTCGTGTATAGCTGGTTGTTTTGAGCGGATCTAGCTCGAGTTCAGAAACGGTGTTATTTAGAGGCTTATATGGCTGACGGAAGGGTGAGAGTTGCTAGCCCAGTGCTGATCATTTCTTACGAGACTTTCCGGTTGTATGCAAAAATTCTTCACTCAAGCGAAGTCGGAATGGTAATATGTGATGAGGTGAGTTATTTGGTAGATTTCGCTTAATAGTTCTTAGTTAGACTTCAAACTTCATGTCTTAGGTATTACTACCACATTTTTTTCTTCTTTGCTCGGCACAGGAATGAACTTTAGCATTACCTAAACCTAGGAAGAGGGCTACCATAAACCAGCCGAAAACCTACTACGACTGTAGAAGCGAAAAATCCAAGCTGCGCAACTTGAATAATTGGGTGCGAAAACATGATGGACAGAGGTCACACATGCATAAGTAGTCAAAGCAAAAGAATAGAAACAACTCAAATGGAACATAGTATTTCCAAAATTACATGATGTGATGATGTGAGGAGAACAATGTTAGGGAGTAAGAAAATTATTCTAAAGGAGGCGCGCAATGGAAACCTGTCACAAGATGTGAAGCTCCTAACCGTTTTGAAAAAAAATCGCACAAAGCAGTCTAGCCATGTTATCTTTAGAAGGGATGCCAGATCAGTGTGGCCATTTATGATCAGATAAATCGCAAAATGCTTTTGGACATCAATCGAGTCTGCATTTCATTGAGCGTACAACGGCGAACTCCGTCCTCACAGATTTGTGTGTTGTGAACGATTTTTCGGTTGTTATAGTTTTACTTCTGAGCAGTGCCACATTTAGGGTCATCGCCTGAAAAACAGCGACAACCTGACTTATCAGGCACTCAGTGGCCTCCAGTGTTCTCGACGAGTACTCATATCCGGGACTCCAATTCAAAATGATCTCCTTGAATACTACAGGTGTAAATTCTTTCCCATTTTCTCATACAGTAGTGCTAAACTCGGCTGATCAAGCTCACCTTTCAGTTTGGTGAATTTTGTGAACCCAGGATTATTTGGAACTGCTAGCGATTTCAAAAAGCGATTTGAGAACCCTATTTTGCGGTATGTTGTATATGTGCTTCTTATTAGCTTCTGTTCGGAACTGAGGGTTAACACTTAGTGGTCGCGATGGGAGTGCTAGTGAAGAGGAACAGAAGAAAGGCGAAGAAGCCACGAAAGAAATGGTGACGCTGGTTGAAAGATGCATTATTCGGAGAACAAGTGCCTTGCTGACAAAATACCTCCCGGTATGTTTTTGTTGTATAGAACTACGACTTGCTTCCGCGATGGAACTCCTGTTGGAGGTGTAGGGGGTCACTTCATGGAGCTCTCCAATACTGAGGATAAGGATAAGAGTCTTCATGACAAGTCGATTTATTTACAATTTATTCTGAGAAAGAGCGGTTTAGATGGGAAGTACTCTAAGGTGCTTTCAGGTTTCGGCCTGCTGTGGTCCAATGAAACGGTCCTGAACTGGGGTATGGGCATTCTTCTCTAAGCGCAAGGGTGTAGGAGCCCAGGGTGGAACGATCACATGCCATAATTGCCTAGGATGTGAGTAGAATGTGCGTGATGTAGGCACCACCGGTGCTTATCAAAAGTGCACTTGGGATGAGTCGTTTACCAGGAGTACTACGTGCAAGATAAAAGGGAGTGGTCCCTCCCCCCCCTCCCCCGCACTAGAGTTCCACCGCTTTCAGTTTAGTTCCTTTAGAGATGAAACAGGCGAATTCTGCCGGAATTAACATTATTCCTTAACGGTTCAAAATTTACCAAATGAACAGACCGATAATCGATGACTGAGAGCCTACTGTAAGCCAATAAATGAAGAGGTACAATGTCTTCGAGAAAACACTGCACTTTCCATTTCCCGCAAATGCTGTAACTCATGATCAGAAAGTCCTGCTAAAAAAGTTGTTTTGACTACACCCTCCATCCTTTGCTTCACTGCAGGTAAAATATGAACACATCATATGTTGCCGCAACACGGATCTGCAAGACTCAATCTACAACAAGCTTATAGAGACTGAAAAGAAGTATCGCGAAATGGAAAGAGATAAGGTACTACAATTAGTGAGCACTTGAGCATTTCTTCGTAAGCACTGGAAATCAATTCGTCCAGGAAAACGGCGCAACGGCGTCAGCGTTGTCTTTCATAACTCATCTCAAGAAGTTGTGTAATCATCCATATTTGGTGTATGAGGAGCTGCAGAAAGCAGATAATCGCTTCCACAGTGAGTTTCTCTAATAACCAATAAGTAGGGGAGTGTAGTACCGAAGATTGATACCATTTTCGCGGATGTAAAATCCGGACGCTGCCGATGAAACACTAAAGAGGTGAAAGGTGCACACGCAGAGGTAACAGAAACTGCTGGCCCATATTTCGACGCGCCACTCGGTCGTGGCAACTTACAATTATGAATGCTGATGTGTACTCCATCTCATCCACTTGTTGAACGACGGAGAGACTTCTCACAGACACTGATATCTCACAAAAAAATCTTGGAAATTCCAATCCATCATTTTGCAATTTTTAGATTGTTTACACTTGTTTCCTGAATCACTCGGAAGAAAATTCGACCCGTCAACATCTGGAAAAATGAAGGTACTGTGAACAATATGACAGTACTCACTTTTTTGTCAAAAGGAGATTAACTTTAGTCCTCTCCATTGTTCTATGTTTGATATTGGCTTCAGGTTCTGGATTACATTCTAGCGGTGACTCGAAAAACGTGTAACGATAAGTTTGTGCTGGTGTCAAATTATACTCAGACAATTGATCAATTTGTTGAGGTAGTTCTTCAAGTCCAAAAGTTTCACAGCTCTTTTATGAGACCTATTATTGTAGCTTTGCAAACTGCGAGGCTATGGCTACGTTCGTCTTGATGGATCCATGTCTATCAAACAGCGTTCGAAAACTGTGGAAAAATTCAACGATCCAGAGGTGTTATTACTTTTTTCCCGTGAAGTTTGGGCTGTTCTGTTGCCGACTGTTAAGATAGCATCGTGCCTTTCTGATTGTAGAGCAGCGAATTTTGCTTTCTTCTGTCATCCAAAGCTGGTGGCTGTGGTCTCAACTTGATAGGAGCAAACAGGTAAAGAAAGCGTTTAACCTCATCCTATGTACATTTCTATGCCAACGATGTCGTTTCAAGATTGGTAATGTTTGATCCTGACTGGAATCCTGCTAACGATGACCAAGCAATGGCTCGGGTTTGGCGAGACGGCCAGAAGAAAAACTGTTTTATTTATCGATTACTGGCGGTGAGTTGGTTGAAGCACCTTTGTATTGGTGCCAGTCTCCTAGTGGTCATCTATTACAGACTGGTTCGATTGAAGAGAAGATGTTTCAACGACAAACACATAAGAAAGCTCTTTCGTCGTGTGTGGTGGATGCTGGGCAGGATGTTGCGCGACACTTCAGTGTAGATCAGTTGAAGGAGTTGTTCAAACTTGAAGCAGACACTCCGTCTGATACTCACACGAGGTTAGCCCTAGACGGCAGACAATTAAAGAATTCCTACAACTTCACAAGTAATCCGTATGTGCATCCATTTCAATGATACCCCCACCTCGAACTCTAGCGATGAGCTATACGTCTTTCCTTTTCCCGATCCAATTTTCGAGTCCAACAGGTTGTCTGTAGTCACAACCCTCCGCCAGCGAAAAATTCATTTGGTATTTGCATCTACGCAGTAAATTTTCTGCTATACGAGGTAGTTTCTGCTATTCTATTCAGGCTGAAGTGTAAGCGTTGTGTTAACGGAATAGAAAGCGTTGATCCACCAGAGACAGCAGACTGTACATCAGATCTAGCGGTATGGCACCATTCCCAACGAGATTCTCGCAAGGTAAGGCTAGTTTAATTCACTACTAAGGGAGTATTCAACAATACTGTTGTTCCTTTTTGGATAGGATGTCGGATTTACATGTCCGAGAACCTTTTGATGTCACCGATATTTTTTCTCTTGTGATGGTTCCTTGTCATAAAATTGTTTAAGAATTGTCAAGATTTCCATTTGTAGATCGCTGATCCAGTTCTGCGGTCCGTCTTCAACTGTGGCATTATTTCCTTCGTGTTTCATCAGAAATCTCACAAAGTGGAGGTGCCGAAGAAGAAGACGGTCGAGGAGGACGAAGAATATAGGCCCTCTGATGTTGACGAAGATGATGAGTAAAGGTCAAGATGTACGTTTCCCGAATAGGATTCGTGTTTTCATTTTACCTATCATTGCATGGTCTTCTTTAGCACAACATTCTCTTATTCACGATCCCGTATCTTATTTATTAAAAAACGAGAACTTGCTAACCACCTAATTTTCTCATTACTACAACCAACACCAGTTTGTTTTGGGTTGTCCTCTAATACTGTGTCACGTGTTTCTGAATTGTTACCACTTGTTCCATGTATAAAATATTGTTTTAATTCTTACCCTTAATGATGTAGAATAATGTGAATATTTTGGTTTTTCTTTTTCTTCTTTTCTCGTTTCAGTTATCGCACTGATATTGTACATTCCTTTGCCTAACCACCAGAATAAATAGTATTCTTTCTGAGAGTCAGGGCACGCCGTGCTTTCGATCACGCATCACAAGAATCAGAATACATTTCAAGCTTCTGATATTGAACGCCTTTGTACGTTTAGACAACATTAATATTCATCCTAATGACTTCATTCGTTTAGATAAGCCTGATCTCATTTATATTTTTCAAAAGATAAAGTGTGGTATCGATCTCAAAGCAGTGAAGATGCTTCGGACCTTTTTGGCACCTGCATCTCTTCGTAATGTAGTCTCTGAAGAATATCGCGAACAGGGTTTAACCTTCCCACACACTCGAGGGAAATGTGGTATCTCACGACGATTTTTCAGAATGGCCGCGTCCCTCCCCAGGAGCTGGTTTTGGCTTAGAAAACGCTTCATGAGGATTTCGACTCTTCATGCAACTTGAGGCTTCGCTCCAGCTCCACGAGCACATGAACAAAGCATTACGAGTCAATTACGTGGGCGTACGAAGGAATCGCTAGTGCAGATGTAGAGTCACGCCAAACCCCGTCAGGCCTGCCTCATTTTTTGCGACGCTCAGCCATCTGCGTCGCTTTGAGCGCGGCGGCTGGCGCAGCCGACCGGTTCGCCAGCGCCGTCGTGATCGATTCAGGCCGCGTCACGCAGCCGACTAGTTAGCACGCTCGGCGGCTGTGCACTCCTGCGCCGCTTGACCTGGGCGTCCATACGGACCACGCCAGCTGCGTGCCCCGATCGGGTCAGCGGCTAGCTCATTTTGCCTTGATGTTGCCCACTGATGCTTCCATTTATGCTCATGTCTTCTTCTATTTCATCGTAAATTTTCTTTTGAATATGCTACCCAAGTTGAAAGACGCCTAGCTCCTCGCAACGCTCCACATCTGAGCAAACTCTAAATTCAGGGATGGATCGGAAATTCAAACTAGCCGTCATTACCAGAGTCGAGCGCCATCCGGAGATTTGGAACTTCACTTCAGAGGACTACAAAAAACAAGACGTGCGCCTGACCGCTTGGGATCAAATTGTAGCCACATCAAATTGCTAGCCTGAACGAAGCGGAGGGCTTCGACACAGGTCAGAAGTCTGTCTAGTTTTGAATTTCCATTTTGACACCATATGTTAACGTTGACTCACATTCCAACACATATAACAAACAACAACATATAACAAATAGACAATAAATCAGCTACCTTCTACAATATACTGATGTTATACAGTCATTGAAGACCCACACTTTATGAATTTCTTCCAAAGGGAACTGCTGCCACGTTCATGCTCTTGCCCTAACCTGAATAGCCGCTTCTGTAATGCGCGTCTTTTCAATGTGTTATAAAACTAATAAAAAAAGTCCTGGAAAAATCTAGTACCATCTGCAAAATCTACACTAGGCAACCAATCAGGTGCGCAGTCTGCTGCCGAACTACTACACTATACACACCTCTACAACCTCTGTGGACGCATCATCTATGAAAACGAAAAATGCAACAATTAGCTCCAACTTACAGAACGGGCCTTAGGCCGATGTCAGACTTTGCGAATCGTGCGATTCGCAAAGTCCGACATCGGCCTTAGTGTGTACTTTCCGAAAAAATTAAAGCTGTAACTTTGCAGAAATAACTACAAACTTCTTCATACCTGTCCAATTCTGAGCAAATTAGATTATGGCATAGAATTCAACATATTAAAATGGCGACCACTGTTCAGATATGCATGCTGCAAAAACAACATGGAAACGTTTGAAGGACACTTTTTCGAAACGACTGAAGCATTATCCTCCTGGCGCCGCAAAAGCGTGGGTTTATGATGATGAGCTACAGTTTCTCATGACAAGTACGAGCGCTGGGTAAGTTTAAATTCAGATTAATCTTGTCGTCATTGGGCAATAAAGAAGCTAGAACTATTCTTGTCCACATTCAGAACATGCAGCTCTGTCACAGAACCTGATGAGGAAGAACCTGCACAAGATGTCAAGGGGAAGCACTTCGACAAAGAAGGAAGCGTGACCACCGAAGACGGATTCACAGATTCCAGTAGTGTTTCTATTGCATCTCCGTCCTGTAATAATACCACGACTTATGGACGTCGACAAAACTCTCTTCGAAGAAGTATCACCGCTAAAAAGGATCAACTGCGTGCAGGCCAGTGGATGAGATGAACAATTTTAGTACCTCTTTTGAGATGTATATCGATTTTTGGGGTCAGATGAAGTCACCTCTGATTTGCACATAACATAACGAGACTGAAAGACCAGGAACAGCCTAAATTTAGGCTCAAGCACAAGCCAATGTGTAAGCGTGAGCGTAGGCCTAATCTTGGCTTCAATCTTCGCGCAGCTTTATGACCTGACCTGTCGGAAGAAATTAAAGGCGGATTTAACGATGAAAATACAGCCCATTGAAAAGCAACGTAGAGATGGTTGGTGGCGCAGATATAAAGAAAAAACATGAAAAACGGCCCAGAACCTTGAGAAATGGGACCCCTTCCTTGCCCGCTGATTTACGTATTGATGCGGCTCTATCATCGGTGCTGCCCTCTCTTGAACGTGAAAGCTCTCCCTGCTAAAACGGCTAGTGGTTCAGATAGCGAGTGGGCGTGCCTTGCTGATAGCGCCGCGGGGAGGGCCATGCTAGCTCACCGGGGCAACCCTTCGCTGTGAATTGCGTGTCGGTCCGCACCCTTAAGGGGTCCGCCTGTCTTACCAATGTCTTCCTTTTCGTCGATTTTCGACCTTATCGTGGAATCATCCTTCAATGTCTCCCCAGTACCTACACAACCAATGAGCTCATCGTCACTTCGTACTACCATTCTGACAAGATCACGCGTCAGTCGAAATCTTGACATTGGTCAAAGATGACATGTCACATGGGGTAACAAGACTTCTGTCAACCAGGGGCTGTGGAGAGTTAGAAGAAAGCGAGACGGTTATCTCGTGGTAGGGACTACGCTTTTGGGATGAGGTAAAAGAAAGGGAAGTATTTTTGGTGCTAACTTAGTTGGGGGGGGGGGCACGCGGCGGCGCGGCAGTCTGCTCACCTGGGCTCTCTCGAGCGAGACAGTGTAAACTCGAACATTCCAGCTTTTCACGCATGTCAAGTGACTGCCCCCACCCCCCACCCCCCTAGACTGCCTACACTCCCCCTGGCCCACGGATTTCCGAACATGCCAGGCGAGCAGACTGCCGCGCCGCCGCGTGGCCCCCCCCCCAACTAAGTTAGCACCATTCTGTACTAGTGCGATATGAGTGAGAGCTCCCAACAGTCACAGCACAGAACCTGAATTGCCTAGCCCTCACGCTGAGCGACCATGTCGAGATCGTCACAGTGGGGGGGGGGACGACGTCAGAGGAGTTCACATGCGTTTGCTTTGAGAGAGGCGGTCTGCGTAAGACTGTTGACAGGTTTGCGGTTTTCACAGAGACGAATTACCGCCTCTGAAGGGTATGAATTATCTTGAGCGATTAGTATAAAAATCCCGTGGGAGCTCTCTCTACAAAAGTTATAATAATGCTACTACCTTCTCCGCTTTACAGATCGCAAAGTAAAACGGAGTAATGGTCCTGCAGGCACAGAACGAACAGGAGAATATGCCGGATCGTTTCGACATTTTAGGTAAGAAATCGCGGACTCATAGAGCTATCTTGTGACAGTAGTTACTCAACGAAATACTCTAATCTGCAGCTAACGCTTCCGTGGCCGCTGAGTCTGAAAAGTAAGGCAGACTTTGGTGCTACTACAAAGCCTGTCACCAATTTCTAGCATCGGCAACTGGCAAGCATTGGGATCGCTTACAAGGGGGGTCTTTCAGGGCAAGCCGCGCTTTTTGGAAACGGTTTCTTGCATATTGTAGGGACGCATGTATGGACCACAAAACCATGTTTCGTTTTCGCTGAACGGTTTTAGTAGTACCAAAAAAGTGGTGAATGATACCCTTGATGGTTCGATCCCCCGCGGCGACTAAATTTTGCAATCAAGGTTGGCGGCCACTTGTTGGCTTCAAAATGGTCCTGACGATGAATTGACATCTGATTTTGACATTTAGCGCGATTTGGCACCCCGTAGGCGCCAACCCAAATGCAAAATTTAGTCGCCACGGGGGATCGAACCATTAACAGTACCTTATGCTTCTTTTTTGGTACTGCTAAAACCGTTCAGCGAAAATGAAACATGGTTTTGTGTTCCCTACATGCGTCCCTACAATATGCAAGAAACCGTTTTGAAAAAGCGTGGCTTGCCCTGAAAGACCTCCCTTGTTAGAGGATATCTTTGCTTGACACTGACAATTGATTTGCAGTCGTACCTCAATGAGACTCATATCAAACCAGTCTGTGTAGACTATAGGTATGGAAAGAGGCGTGTACACCAACTATGACCTCGTATAACTGTAACTCTTCTCACACCATGTTTGACCTAGCGATCCCCTCTCCTGAATGTGACACAGTTTCCCAATCCGCGATTTTTCGTTTGCAATGCATTATAGCGAAGCGGAGGAGAATACAGTCTTTTAGCCACCTTTCATACCTAATCTGCCCCAATCAACTAATTCTCAGAACGGTAGCAGATATTAGCAGATGGCACTCGCTATATTACTGGCACATCGAATTGTATAGAATCAGTTCATTGATAAGCAATCTTTTTAGGTCAATATATCGCCCAGACTCTTCGAGAGCTCTCGCCGGAAGTCTCTTCAGTAAAGATATTAGAAATCACCACGGTCCTTCATACCTCAACAGCTCCTACTTCTAATTCGAAGGTGAATGCTACGAAAACGCCTCAGAACAATAGAAGATGAAAGAACTTCCATTCGAAATAAAAATTTCGTTCAGTAACATTCTGTTAAAGTAATCCCTGCAAAAGTTCTAGGTTTCCATTTTACTCTTGGTGCCCTGAGGTTCGCTTCGAGTTCACAGTAGAAGAATTAACAAAACTTCCCAAATTCGCTGATCCCTACTAAAAACATGAAGTAAGGCTCGATCCCGTGACGCATGCAAACCACGAAAAGTCATTTAGTCAACCCGGCCAATTGAAATGAGCATCCTACTTACTATAAAGCGCTTCGTCTGTCGTCTGTATGTCTGTCACGAAATTCCCTAGCTCCTCGGGATCCGCCTGGAGGGACCGGGTCAAGTGTGGGATGGGTGGGCAAGGTCTCACGAAGTACAAAACACACATCAGCTAAGCGGAGCCCACAGTGGGCGTGGCGTGCGTCGAAATGAACTGTACTGAAGACCAAGATTTCAATTTCAGTGACAAAACAACCTCGAAACTGGGCCAAAAAGTGGGTAAAGGTGTGCATTGGTAAGTCACATCGAATTAGGGAGACCCACCCCGGTGGGCGGGGCGTTCTCTAAAAAAGCAGTGCTTTATGAAAAATTTCATAACTCGGTTGGGAGAAAGCCTACAGAGCAGAAAACAATTTGGTGTAAGGGAGCAATGTCTAAGGTGTTTCCTGCATACATGACGTGGGCGGAGGCCCGCCCAGAATGGGGGGCGCGCTCTGAAGTGTACAGCATTTTCTACAAGCCCTCATAATTCGGGTCGGGGAAGTCTTAAAGAGCCGGAAAAAGGTGGATAGAGGTGTATGGAGGAGTGGAGGCCAGCTGTCAATGGTGGGCGGGGCTTGACCAAAGTGGGCGGAGTTTGCGACGAAAATTCATAACTCGGCTCCAAGAAGTCCCGGAGGCAGGGTCAACCGTCCGTTGGACAAAGTCCAACGCGACGACGAGAGTAATGCCGAGAGTGAACGTACGCACGGAGACACAGACGGCTCGCGGGTGGCGAGAGTGAATGCCGGCGCGGAGAGCGGTGAACATCGGTCCAACGTCGCTCCAATATCGGTCCAACGTAACGGTTGACCTGCTGATTTCGAAAAAACCGGAGGTAAGCAAACCAGCCCTTTTGGCGTTTCGGCTGGGACCGTATGCTGAATGTTGGGGAGGGGATGGGGTCCCCAACGGTCGACGGTTTACTTCAACTCGGTTGGTACGATAGGAGAGTACTGACGCAAGTGGTGCAGCTGGTCCAGCAGCTCCGCCAGAAGGGCTGGTTTGCTCACCCCAGGACTAAGCCTTGGAGAGGGGACGGACCCGTCCTCTCTTTAAGGCTTAGTTCTGAGGTAAGCACCAAATTGTGGCGGTTCTAAGGACCGAGTTGAAGTGGTCCGTCCACCGTCGGACTCCATCCCCTCCCCAACATTCAGCATACGGTCCCAGCCGAAGCGCCAAAAGGGCTGTTGCTTTACCGGCGAAAAAATGTTGATGGGGGTGGGTGGAGGAGTGGAGCCCAGCTATAACCGGTGAGCGGGGCTTGACCAAAGTGGGCGGAGTTTGCGACGAAAATTCATAACTCGGCTCCAAGAAGTCCTAGAGATAGGGAAAACGGGGTTAGAGGTTGGCGAGGGAAAAGAGGTCAACTGCTATTAGTCGGGCCGAGCAACGCACCTAAGTGGACGGAGTTTGCCAAAAGTGTCGTAATTTGGTTCCTCACCCAAGCAGGTCAAAGGGACCGGTGGAAGAAGGGTAGAGGTCGGCGAAAGGAAGGGGGCCAAATATTATTGGTGGGCGGGGCAGCGCACCGAAGTAGGCGGAGTTTGCCACGAGATTTATTGTCCGGAGACCGGGAAAAAGAGGATAATGGTTGACGAAGAAAAAGAGGTTGAAAGCCGTCGATGATGGAGCGGATAGAATTTAGCTGAGAATTCAGATATTCGTGGTGTATCAAGCCAAATTTGAAAATTTTCGTCGCACCATCAAAATTCGCCGCAGATCTGTGTTGCGCGCGCAATGCGTGCGGCGCCAACTGGTACATCTATACGTGCCTTGGGACGCCTCGAATACGCTTTCCTTATCTGCTAAACTCTTCGCTGAAAGAAATTATAAAGCTGAAAAGCGCAGGGGCAGTGATCGTAGCTCACGGAAGAGCCGTGAGCCACGACCACTGCCCCTGTGCTTCAGCTTGATCGACTCCTTGGCGAGCTTGCTCCTTTGCACTTTCTGTAGCACAGCTAGGAAGATTCATATAGCTCTTCCAACATGCTATCGCTAACCATACAAAGAATTTAGGGCAATTAATAACGAACTTGGGCGGCATCGCTCCTCACTACTTTGGGCGCTTGTAGCGCAGGCGCCAGGCATTTTTGCTTCGAACAAGTATGATATTCGTAATCAGGGAGTCAGACTTTCCCTTTAGGCAAATCTCCAACCAATTCTGAAATTTTGACCTAATCTGATGATCGATCCATGATTGGTAAACCCAAAAAGTGGAGTTTGAGGAGTGGTAATCCCATCACTGCTCCGCTTTTTCTCAATTAGTTCGACCTCAGATTTGGCGAAAAACTCGCTTTTAGGGGTAGTTTGATCCCCTGAATACGAATATCGTACCTACTTGCCACGGAAAAGCATAGCACCTGCACTACGGGCACCATGGGCACTCACAGACAAGTAGTGCTTAAGTTTAAGAGGATCTGCTTGCAAACTCTTCGTAGATGTAGCGTCGGGCGACCGTTGATAAAATAACGGATTCAAAAAGGCTTTTCAGCCATGTTGAAAAAAAGCAAAACACCAAGCTCCGAAGGGAACCGAACCCACAACCCCTCGTTGGAAGCAAGGCCGCTACCACTACGCTACCAAAGCCTCACCGCATCTTTGTGACATTTGAGTGGAGCTTACACGCTAATGCCAACAAGACACCGAAAATCAAGGGCGGCAACAAAAACCCTCCGTAACTCCTTTCAGAGAAGAGTTCAGCAGATAATGAAAGCAGATTTGAGTTCAGCGTCTCATGCTGCGTACAGAAATGTGCACCTCATTTCATTTGGCCGGGTTGGCCTAATGACCTTTCCTGGTGAGTTGCGGCAGGAAGGATAAAAATGAATCAATAGACCCTTTAATGCCAATTCGAGAGCTGTGCGTGATCTAGTTTGAGCGGCGAAATGCAGAGTGATTCGGCAATAAAAATAACAAAAAACGCCTGATTATCTTCCGAATGGAAACCTTTCTCTAGAAGTTATAGGCAATGGATGATTTTTCAAGACAGCTAGCATCGCGAACGCGAACTGCATCCTCTGCCCTGTCTGCCACGAAGTCTAGAGCAATGACAAAGGTGATAAAGAACAGCGGATGGGCCATTTAACTTAAGCTAGGAATAGAGGAGAGGAAAACGGTGCTTGGGTCGGTTCCAAAATCCGTAGAGGAAAAAGGCCCTGTAACTAACCTAATAAGGTTTGGAAGGGAGGGAGTACT